ACAAATGTGTTATAAGTACCATAAAGATTTTAAGGAGATGATTTATTTTATATGTGAATAAAACTACAACATTGGCGTTTCGAAATGAAATACGAGCAACAACCCATTCAATTATTCTACCCCTTTATAAGGGGTTTATTTTAAAAATAATAAAGAGATCTTGTTGAATTCAATGCAGATCTATCTTTCTAATCATAAAATCAATCTTTATAATCTTGTTTCGAGCCTTTAAATTGTTTTGTCTTTCTTTATTCTTTATGAGAAAACGAATTCCGCTGTTTGCAATTGTTGAGTGGCCTCGCGCTATCTTTTCACCACCATCGACTTAAAAATTTCGTTAATCTTAATCCACTGTCGTTGAACAAAACGATTCACTCAACAATATTTTCATTTTGCGTAAATCCTCCTTGTTAAGTGAAAAATTCATTTACTCATTCCATCAATTTTTTCTTTTTTAATATTCTTTTTTTTTCTGGAAAAAAAATCAAACGATTAAAAATTTCAATAGGTTTTAAATTAAATAGTTCATCATCGGCTCATCATCGGTTATTGTTCATCGGGTTAATTCTTTTTTTAAATTCAATGATTGAATTTATTTTTATTTTAATAGTAATATAATTTAAAATTTAAAATTTGAAATTTATTCCAATTTTATATTAATTTTATTATTATTATTAATCTTGGAAGTTATTGTTATTATTAATCATTTTTTTTTTAAATCGAAGATAAATAAATAACAAAAATTCTTATTAAATTGCAATGGATAATTTATAATTTATTAAAATAGTTATTTATTCTTTCTATATTTTCTCAAAAAATAATAATATTTATAATATTATTTTTTTCTTATAATATTTGTAATTCTTAGAAATATTTTTTTAAGATAATTTTTTTTTCTTAAATTTTATAATGAATAAATTTAATAGATTTAAATTTTTTTTTTTTTTTTAAATCAGTGAATTGATATTAACAAATGAATTCTTGAAAATTATTTCGAATATTTCTATCTATCTATGTATATCTTTCTCAAAGGAACGATTTTTCTTTACATAATTGACATTATCCCAAGAGAATATTGGCTTTAAAGATCCAATAAATTATTACTTTCTGCGAATACTACCATAATTTTTATTCTAAAATATTTAATATTTAATGAAAAAAAATTTTTTATTTTTATTTTTTATAAATAAAAATTTAAAAATTTTATAGTAATTTATTTTTATTTGATTTTTCGACAAAATTTCGTTTCACATGAATTTCAATTGAACTTCAACAATTGCTTTCCTCAAATTTTTTTTTTTTTTGATTGATTTCGTTAACTAAAAAGAAACTTATTAAAAGTGAATTTGTAACATATTGAAGTGGATATATATTTAAAAAAAAAGAAAAATTCCCTCCTCATCGTTTGTGGGTGGATTGAATATTCCTCAACATCGAGCGCTTCCACTAACGCTTTAAGAAATCCTGTATAGGCAGATCATCATTAAGAGATTTTTGCCGAAAGTCTTTTTCTGGTACAATCGGTGATGGCCGAGATTCGTTACATATATATGTATACATATAAAATATGTTTGAAAGGAAATAATCAAAACTGGTTCTGCAAATTAACAACAGCATCGTATTTGTGTTGATTAATAATCGTAATAATATTAAAGTTATCTATTTCATTGAAATATTATTTATTGTTTCAATAAGTATTCGAAATTTTATTTAATTCTTCAATATTCGCTCTTATTCGCTTTTTATGAATTTTTAGTTTTTCACGTATTTTAAGCGAAAAATGAAAAAAAAAATTATTTTTTATACATTTCTAATTTTTCATAATTCTCATTTTGATATAGCAAATTGAAAATAAACAATTCGAGCTATTAGTAGTAGTGGTACTGATAAAATTGATAAAGAGATAAGCAGATTTTTCATTTCATTGCAATTTTTTTGCAAAGATTAAATTTGAATTATGCATTACTGTTTTTTGTATATTGTAATATTGTAATATTTGATAATGTTGTAATTCACAAATGTTGAAATGTTGCTTTAATGATCGGTTTTTTAACGCTCAAAGAAATTTAACTATAAATTTATGGATTTTTTTCTAAGTTTCTTTTAGTTTTTCGCGTCATCTGTCAAAGAATGGTCTGAAAACGACTTTTGCTAAAAAAAATTAGTTGAGTTTTTACTTGCTTATTGTTGTTCACTGGTGGAATATTTATCATGTTTACCTAAAGGGTGAATTTTATGCACCATAGTCGAATTTTTTTTTAAAGCGTCCTCATCATTACGGGTTAAATTCGTTCCGCTGGCTTGTCGTATTGGACAAATATTCCAGGATGTCCTTTGGCGATAGAAGTACAGATGAGTCGCTAGCACCACTCAGATTTTTGTATAGATTTACTCTTACGGGGAATAGAATCTCAGCATCAGCGCTACGAATTGAGCAACAATCCACTGAGCCATTCTATTTCCACCATAGTTGAATTAATTTTTCTGGAACTACAAAATCGAATATTATTCAAGCAAACTGAACCATATTCAAGTAAATGTTTAATAAGCAATGTCTAAGGTATAATTATATATAATTGCATGCCAAATTAACTGTATTAGATAGACCATCAAACATGAATAGTTACATTTCGTTCACCCTATATTATTATACTAATTTATGATGATTTAATAAAATTGATGTAAAAGAACCAAATTATTACAAAAAAGTACCATTCACTAGATTTTAATAGCTAGAAAAATACTATCTTATTTCGTTTATAGCCAATGAATTCTTATAATGTGCTTTAATAAAATTTTCTTATAAATATAGACCCTCCCACTGGTTATCAGCTAAGATCTATTAAAATAGTAGCAAATTTTGAGGTGATTAATGAAAAATTACTTAAAGAAAAATGATACAATCTATCGTATCTATGAACGCCAAAAAAAAAAAAAGTTTTTTAATCGTTAATTTTCCGCTTCGACATTATTGTATTCCATTAAAAATTGAATTGATATGGGAAATTTTTGTTAGATTATTGAAATAAATCGCTTAAAAATGTTGTACAAATTTTTTTTTCTGTTCTATAAATGATTATTTAAAAAAACTTTTTTTTAATACGTTTTATTTTATCTGAAAAAAAAAATTTTTTTTTTTTATAAATTATCTAAAATTTTTTTCTTTCTTATTTATTCGTTTTATTCTTTTAAATATTCTAATTCTATGAATCTTAAAGTAAATTCTTAAATTGTGACGATTATTGCTTTAAAATTAAAATAAAATTCATTATGGGTGGTAAATTTTAAAAATTTTGTTTTGCAATATTGTTCGATACGACAGTATTCATTCATTTCGTATATTTAGTTAATTAAGAATTATTAAGAGTTATTGCGAAATATTCTCAAAATTAAGCAATTTACTCAGTTTTATTTTCATATTATCATAAATTGACTTTAGAAGAAATTTTCAGTCTTATCTCACATATTATCTTATCACCTTATCTTGTCAGCTTTCCTAAATTTATTATTATAATAATTCTCAAAATGTTTTGTTTGTTTTTTAATTTTAAATAAGTCGATATTTATTATTAATTAATTAAAGTCATTATACGATAATATACCTTAAAATTGCTTATTTTATTTGCATATTATTATTCCACAAATTGTGTAAATATAAATAATATGCATGTATTTTGCCGCAATTAAATAATAGCAACGGGCATCAGTAACATCACTCAAATTTAAATTGATGATATTCGCTTGGAATTGAATTGATTTGGAGTCTTTTGCAAATGGGTTTGAATGCTTTTGCTTTTGCTTCGTCTTCTACTTCTTCGATGAATTAAATTTATTGAATTAAGATAAATTGTGTATTTTGAATGCCAATTTTAGGCATTTCTAAAATTTACGAAAATTTATTTTAAAATATATTATGAAAAATATGCAACAATATGAAAATTATAATTCATCACGTAATCAAATACAAAATTTTTCCTATCAAAATTATTTGCATAAACAGTCATCACGTTGGAATGAAATATTTTTACCACCCGTATTACAAAGATTTGTTTCGGCGCAATCAAATCGAATAACTTCGTCAACCACACAGGTTACTTTAATAATTTTTAATTTAATTTTTACTTTTAAGGCTTAGGTTTAGGCCTAAGGCCTAAGGCCTAAACCTAAGCCCTAAGCCTTAAACGATAATTTGATTTGAAAAAAAAAAGAAAGAATATTTGCTTAGAAAAGGAAAAAAGGAAAAATTTTATTTATTTTGAAATAACTTATTTGATTTTTGAAATTTCTCGCATTCTAAAACAATCATAAAAGTGATAATAACAATTGGAAAAATGTTGTGATAAGAAGAAGCAATTATCAAAGCGATTAATAACAATTAATAACAAATAACCTCGACAGCAACAAACAAAAAAAACTGTTTACATTTTATTTTGAATATTTTATACGTTCTACAGAGATATTCATTAGGAGGAATCTTAGCTTAAATAATAAAATTGACGATGAATTCCAAATATTTTTACTATAAAATTCGCCTAATTTTTAACTATAACTAACCAACTAACTAACCAAGTTTCATTTTTCTAAAGTCATAGCGAGAAAAATCTAAATACCATCTATTAATAAAGTTATCACAGAGCGTCATCTTCGCTGATTAGGGAACATTCTCCGTCGTCTACCATAGGAGTTGACGTATATTTCGCTACTTGTTGAATCCTGCGATGGTTGGCGTCAAAAGCGAGGAGAGCCAACCAAGACCTGGACTGATACGGTCAGGAAAGATTTTTTACTACTAGCGATGGCATCAGATCGAGCAGCTTGGAAATGTAACCAGCAGAGCCAGCCTAACCAGTAATGATGAGAGCTGTTAGAAGAAGAAGAATTTCATTAATTTCCAGCAATGACTAACTAAGTTTTATTTTGCTAAAGTTGTACCGAAAAAAATCTAAATGCGAATTCAGTAACTTAAATTTTAATATACCTATATTAATTACAATTATAAAATGATTGGAAATGATCGTTCGTTTCACGATCCACCAGTATATATATTAAACATTTAAGCTATGCAAATAGCTATAGATCTCGTTTTTTGAACAGTTTATTCCATCTAGTTGAATGGATATAAGAAGATATTTCATTTCAGTAGAAGTATAAAATTTTTAGTTAAAAACGGTTCTTCGTCTAAGCGAAAGAGACCTTGAAAATACAATTTTGTATGGTAATAGTCTTGTTCTTCGATCCAATCAACCTTCATCAAGAAGTTTCACAAGATATAATTTTGATCATATTTTTTCACCCGATATCACACAGGTACTTTATTCCTTCAAATTTTTCCTAATCTTTATCATATCATTGATTCATATCAATTGTTGACTGCAATAATAAATAGTAAAATTAGATGAAATTATCGGAAATTATTTTGAAGAAAAAATTCTTTTCAAAAAATTTCGTATAATATTTTAATATATGGTATACTATTTTAGAGATTTAAAATGATGTATTAAAATTTCCATCTGCTGTTTTAAATCATTTTTAATTATTTTCGACTAAATTTGATCTGAAATTGTTGCAAAAAAATGAAAAAAAGAATTAATGTAAGCGGATGAATTCCACATTTTAGCGTTTTTTTTTATATTATCAATTGAAGAGAAATGAATGAATGGATTATCCTTAAATTTACAAATAATTTTTTAATGAATTTTTAAAATCTAAAAAATGATTTATTCTTTTTTAAAATTTTTTATATAAAATTATTATGCGATATTTTACAGAAAAATTTTGCAGCAAAAAAAATTATAATAATAATTAAATGCATTGAAAGTAATAACATTAAGTTTTTTGTACATTGGAGAAAAATAATTCAATATAATTCAATATGGCAAAAAATTTTTGCGAATTCATAAATTTTTGATAAAAAAATCATAAAAGTATGAAATGAATGAATAACAATTTGTTTACATAAAATTTACCAAAAATTCAAATTTTTTTTTTATTAAAATTCCATAATTTTACTTAAAATTTAATTTATTTCTTATTACTTTTTTTTTTAAATTATCAAAAAATCGGTGCATCGGTGCATAAGATTTTAAAGAAAAATATTTGCATAAACAATAATTAAAAAATAAACTGAAAAAGAAAAAAATAATATAAATTTTTTCTCTAAAATAATTTTATTTCTCTTAAAAATTCTGTTATAAATTCTGTTTTCGCTTATTTTTCACTTGTAATAATAAAATAATAAATAATTAAAAAATAATTTAACAAAAGCTTTTCTACTTTCAGCAACAAGTTTGCTCGTTATGTTTGCCTGATTTGCTTCAGACTTATTTCACTGGATCAGATGTTTGCTTATTATATTTTGGAGCCGCTTCTAAAGGTTATTTGAGGCAATATTTAATAAAATTAAAATTTAAGAAAAAAATTAGTGTAAAACATTTGTATATGTCGAATACTTAGTGGCAATATGATTAATACTGAAAATCGAGAATGGCTTGAATTCGAATTGCGTCAACGCTTCGTCAGTTCCTGTATCCATTATAATGAAAAGAAAGAAGGATAGAATGGGTGAATGGATTTTTGTGAAGTTCAAAGCGCCGATGCTGAGATTCTATGCCCTTAAAGAAGATCCAAAAATCGCAGTGATTCTAGAAATTCACTTGTGTTTTTATCGCGAAACCGATTTCCTGGCAAGGTTCGACAAGCCTGGCGGAAGAAATCTAACTACAAATAGTAAGAAAAAAATATCGATGAAAAGAATAGAAGTGCTTATATGCAATAAAAAATTAATTGCATTTAAATAAAATTCTCGAAATGCTAACGGCAACTTAAAAAAGCATTTTGTAAAGCTATTAAATCTGTGTTAATCTTATATCATCACGGTTCTAAGCTTAATAATGACCGAAATATTTAAAAGAATAGCGAAACATAACGATTGCAAATCGGATATAATAGTTAAAATCTAATTATGGTATTGATTATCGACTACTGAATCTCAAATTGGATAAGCATTTTGCCATTGGCATGATTGGCATTTTCAAGAACATGACGATTTCGGATTAAAAAAATATATAAAATTAGTGAATGATTTATGAAAAGAAAGGTAACGAAAAAAAAGACTATGGTGCAAAAAATTTATACTCTGAAATATCTCATATAATCAACCGTTGATAATCAATCGCTTATCAGTGATCATTTAAGAATTAAATGCTTTTTAAACAATTATTAAAATTGTTCGGTTTAAATTGTTCGAATTAGTATAAAAAATTTTTTCCTCAATATTTTTTTTTTAGAAAAAGAAAAACTTCTTTATTCGGAACCAACTGAATCACAACCATCAGGATCTACTTATCCTGGCATATTTTATTCAACAATTTTGCTAATTTTTCGATTAATAGCAGAATTTCGATCACGTCGACGAGATTTTCATCATTCAGTTCGCATTTCTGCACTATATTATTCACAAAAAAGCAATCATTTAAGCGATCTTCTTGCTCCATTCTTTAATGGTTCTAATTTTATTTTGTATATATGTATATATATCAAATTTTTTGTTAAAAATTTACGACAACAATCAATTTATGCTTTTATTTATTGGTTGAAAGCAGCAGCACATATGCTGCTTTCTTAAACAGCCACATGTGTATTCCTAATGTTTAACATAAATTTGTTTGATTAACTTATATTTTATTTTAAAATATATGTAATGCATTATCGGATAATTTTATAAAGATCTCCTTGCTTATATACATATTAAAATATAAAATATATATTATACATATAAAAATTTAAAATATCTGTGAATAAATCAATCGCATTAAATTTCGAAAAATTTACTTAAACCAATAATTATTATAATAAATAATAAAATAATAAATAATACAGAAAAATTAAAATTTAATTTCGACATATATCTTTAAAAAAAAAAATCACTAAACGATAAAAATAAATTTAAATTTCCCATCAAAAAAATCATTTATCTTTGTTTATTATTTTTTTTAGATTTATATTTGTTTCGCATTTTTTTATCCACGAATAATATGAGAATTTAACTAAAAAAGTTTATACTTTTTTTCTAGAATTTACAATTGGTTCTCTTATTGATAAGTGTAGTGGCATTCTGTGATAATAATGATAATTTGCATCAAATATAAAAATGTTAAAAGACTTTTCTTATCCTCGATTTTCATTTATAATTCTAGGCGTAATTTTGCAATTTTCTAGAGAAAATAATTTTTTTTTTTTGCTATATAATTTTAATAAGAATAAATCCGATAGAAATGAGTATATTTGACAATATTTGCTTAGTTGATTACTCATTTTCACTAAAAAGAGCTAATAAAATGTAAGAAATCATTCTTATTTAAATTCGACATTTTTGAAAAATATAAATTAATTCCAGAAGTAACGCCAGATGTGCAAATCTTAGAGGATTCAGCACTTGGTATAAAAATTGAAAATCATAATGAAGTACGTATCGATAACGCTGAACAAGCAATACATTACCTTAATGAAATTATTCGTTTTCGACTTTCAGGTTAGAATTTTTTACAAAAAAATAAAAAAACATTTTAGACCAAATAAATCTTTTAATTGAATTGTTCTAATTTTAATTTTTTTATGATAAAATTCAAAAAATTGATCTTTCCAATTCCTTTCTTGAATTTTCCATTTTTTTAAATTTTTTACTTTCTACTTTTTTTTTTTGTTTGAAAAATATTTAAAGTTTAGGTGACGAAGAACAACGCTACGGTCATCTCTTCGTTAATGTCAATCTATATAGGTTAGCTTTTTGTTTCACCGTACTACTATAAACAAGATGAGCCACAGAGGCCGTATTGGTTTTTTTTTTGCCACAGGTATGACGCCGAAAAAATTATGATTTATAAAAATATTAGTCAAAATCATCGTAAAAGTTTCAGAAACTCGGAAAATTCCTACCTCTATGAAGGTTTTTTCTAGAGATTCCGTTTTTTAAGTAGAGCAGCTATTAATGCAATGCAGTGGAGTGTCCGGTTTTCATTTCATTTTAGGTACAAGACGAATACATCACAAATAATTGGTGGACGATCTAGGCTATGCCTTATTGATTTAGGTCTAGGTGAAAGGAATTCGAAAGGCGATATGCAAACACTTACCATGCCTGTAATTACCAACTTATTAGTGGCTTTGTTCCAAGGCCAACGTTATCTTCCAAACAGGTACTTATTATCAGGATTTTAGCATTATTTTCAATTTAAATTTAGCTGAAATCTTCAAAATTTTTAGCTGAAATTTTAAGTAAGCAGTCTTTTTTTTTAATTCTCTTGTTCATTATGTGATTATAGACAGAGCCCATTATGTATGCTATTAAAAGAAGCCCTTGGGCACGTTCAGTCCAAGCCAACAATCTTATTTACAACATTTTCTGATCGAACGTATGAAAATGAAAATATTATTCAAATGATGACAAAGATTCAACGAGCGGCTAAACCAAGGAAAACAATTAAAGTAAATTTTTGTTTGAAAAAATTTATGTTTTTTGTAAAACTATTTTAACTCGCCGATAATTTACTTATCTAAAAAATTTTGTCTTTAAAAAAATGATAACTATAGATGGGTAGCGATTCATCTTCAACGGGATCAGCAAGGAGACGAATGATCGTCGATGGTGAAGCAAATTCGAGTTCCGAACAATCATGTGCTGAAACAGTGATTTTTTTGGGACCGTCAGTGCAGTAATTATTTTATTATTTTATAAATTTAAATTGCATCGTATATATATACATAATATTAATATAAAATAAAATAATAAAGATTTTTATTTATTTACAGAATTGAATCATCACATGAAAAAAAAGAAAAGCTAAAAAATTCAGTTGATCATGAAAAGCGTCAAATGATTATGGAATGGATTGATAATAGTAGCAGGAATCAACTAAAAAATAATCAAATCAAAGTGATTATGATTGTTTTAACTTTTTTATTCGCTATAGATAAGTTTATCTATTAATGCTGATAATAATTGATTATCAATAAGTTAAATATTTAGTTCAATTTGTGTCATTTTTTTTGTTTATTTTTTGGAGGTAAGTGTACAAGTTCAATGTAATGAAGAAGAAATCGACTATGAAACTTTGAATCATTACTCATTTCAACGTGAATTACCCGATATATTGGAAGATGATGAAGAATGTTCACCAGCTTCACAAGAAAATGAACAAATGCTAAATCCATTTAATGATAGTCAAACTGTAAATGCCTCTCATGGCCATTTGAGTATTCTAAGCCTTGATAAGATGTCCAATTCTGCTTCTACTAAGAGTTTACCTGAAAACGTAAGTGTTTATATCCATCTTTTGCAATTATTCTCATTTAAAAAAAAATGATAAAAAAATTTTTTATCGAACTATTTCTATTGTATTTTTTCTATTACTAAAATATTTAGATAATAGATGATGATTTGGAGCGGGCAATGGCTGCTAGTGTTAGTTCGATTCGTTCGCATGAAATCCTCTCTAAATTCATAGTGGAATCTCCTCCAGAGGTGAGTGAAAGGCGTACCATTAAAAATGAAATCCATAGAATGCTACTGGGGAGTCATTAAGTACCAATAAATTGTAAGATAATGCTATAGATATGAATTTTAAAAAATCTCGATGTTATCCATAAATGTTGAATGTTATGCATAATTTATTCCAAATTTTTTTGGATGAACTTTTTTAGATTCTTAAAGAATTTTTTTAGATTCAAGAATATTTAAAATATTATGACTTCAATCAAATATTGTAAATTTATTTTATTTGGCTAAAAAAAACCATTTTGTTCAGTAAATTTCTATTTATTTTTTAGAGTTTTCCTATTTTTATTTAAAATTTTTCTAAAGACGGTGAAATAAAAGGAAATAAATGAAAAGGCGAATAATTTACTTCGGCAACCTTTCATAGTTCTTTAAATATATAACGATAAATCTGGCTAGGTTAATTGCGGGTGTTCATACAAAACAATATTTGTTCCATAACTATTCAATGTTTATTATTGGATATTTGATATGATCAACCAGATATATCGAGTAAACTAAATTTGTTGTGAACCACAATTGAACAATATAAAATTATTTTGAAGATAGATAAATTCTATAGAAAAATGTTATTTTTTTTGAATTTTATTTTTTCGTCAAATTAAATTTAAATTAAATTAAATTGAAAGAACTATAGAAACGATAGATAGAACGATGAAAAGAAGAATGGAACTTTGCTAAATTCCTATAAATTTATAAATGAATAAAATGTTTATGAAATTTTAGGGGAATTCAAATTCGAGCGATTCGTTGGATATTTATAGGCGAGCTAGTCTACTCGAACAATATAGTGAAGCAAAAGTTCGTGAACTTAATGAAACAGAAAAAAAGAAAAAGAAAAAGCTTCCTTCACTTATTTGTTGCGAGAATGCTATGGTTAGAGGCATTTCCTTTTCCTATATTTTAATAAATGAATTTTTTTTCTTATTCTTAACCACGAATTTTTGATAATATCATCATCCTCACTATTCCTACAGTATTATTAAAATAACAGAGCCAAAATTGTATAATTCAAGTTTATGCTAGGTTTAACTGATATTCTGCCTATAATTGTAGTTTTTTCTGGATCTCTTCCTATAGATATTCATTTTTTCCACTTTTTTTTTATACTCTCTTAAGATTTCATCAGAGCAAATTTGATGGTAAAATGAAAGTAATAAACAAATCTTATTACAATAAAAAAAATAAAATAAAATTTAAAAATGCAAGAAAAATATTTAATTTTTTTTTTGCTAATATTAAACATAATGGAAAGTATTTATTAAAAACTAGTAATAAAATGATAAAATAATAAATTTGCTAAAAAAACTTTATACTTAGTTATATTCTATACTTTACTGCCTTAAAATAGGTTTCATCTGGTAGCAGCGCTGGAATTTTTGTAAAGAATGAATTGGATAAGCCAAATAATAAAACGGAAACCTTAATTTTGCCAAGCCGAAACGAAAATTTTATACATTCAACGATTCCAATCAAAATATCCTCTAAGTCGTACGTTACGCTTTTTTTTTTCAAATCTACTAAAAAAAAAAATTAAATTAAAAATTAATGCTAAATTTTGTTTTTCCTTTTGATTTCACATATATATTTTTGTATATATTTGGTTGTTTTGAATTTAAGCTTAATACTTTCCGAATTTTTTTGAATGCAATCGAATCATATTATATCATATAAATAATAATGGCGTTTTCAGGAATCGAACAGAAACTACACATAAAACGAAATTATCGAAAAAGATAATAAGTAATAATAACTCATTACCACGGAATTCTTCAAGTCAATATCGGTTAGCTGAACTCGCTGATCAAAAAGATATTCAATACGATAATAAAAATACAAATCGAGATAATAATGATACGAAAAAAGATAAAAAAAAGTATTTTTGTTTTTCAAAAATTTATTTAAAAAAAAAAAAAATTTTATTGAAAATAAAAGTTTTTTTTCTCATCTATTAGATGAATTAAATTTGAATTTAACGAATTTTAGTAAGAAATTAAACGATCGACGAAATTCATTGGAATCTGGAAAAATTCACGAGTTCAAATCTTCATCGTGCTTTATGGTAATTCAAGCTTTTTGGTATTAAAATAAAAAACTATGAAATAGTATAAAAAATAGATATCAAATGGAAAACATCTTAAAAGCATCATAAAAATTATCTTTAAAATGCTAAAATTCGAATTTTAGAAAAAGGAAACTCAACGAGATAGTGGTGCATATTCCTCGGGCCATGGGAGTGATGAAAATGGTTCGATATATATACGTCCACAATTAAGGCTCTTCTCAACGTCAAGTAATAGAAATCGAAATCGTGAAAGTTTTTCGGCGAGTAGCGGTTATGAAAGTGCCTCTGGTGATAGCAAAAATAATCATGGTAAGTTGAAGTTTCTATTTTTAAATTTTAAAATTTTGACTATTAATTTTAATTAAATTTTTTTTATAAATTGGATGCTGTTTTAGATTAATGACCGTCAAGTTTTCGTATTTCACATTAATTTATATGCATTCTGCGAATTTTCTTCGCCAACTAATAGCTGCCACTATTATTGGTCATCGTCATTACCACTAATACTATCATAATTACTGGCTAGTAGTTAATACAGGAAATGAGGCGTTTTCAAGCTTTTAGATCGTTTGAAGGTGACAAAAGTTGCTTTTTTCTATCTTCTAAAATATATTGCTATATCATTCATCCATATCCTTTTTTTCATCATGAGCTTATAGCAAATAATGAGATTTGCGTCAGTTTCTGTGGCAATCGGCGAAGAACATAGCCTAATCTACATAGGTAGTGACATTGTTAATGCAGATGAGTGAAGGTGGAAGCAGTCATATGCGATTTCTCTCTGATCAGCGGGCAATACGGAAATGTGCATTAAGCGTTAGTGGTGAAAGGTTATAGCTTCATGAAATCTTCAACTACCATCCAAGTTTCGTAGAAATATATCTATAAGGATAGTGTACAATGCTGCTAAATTGGTGCTAACTTCCGTTTCGATCTTCATTTCGCGAAAGAGAAAAGCATTTCTGGCTGACGCTATCTTGATCGGAATTCCATCTTTCGCTAGTTGTAAGAGTGGATCTGAGAATTCAAAAAAACAATTTTAAACGACTTAACGTGTACTTTATCAGTAATAAAAGTAGATATTTTCTCAACATACGAGACGAAGAGTTTTGCCTTACTTAAATTTTGGTAAGAAGCATGAGTTTCGCTTCAGTTTTCACGCTGCCTACCATCTATTATTCATGATTTTCAACAAAAAGGATTATATCATCAGCCTATTCAGGATCCATAATATTATGCTTTTGAATAACTTGTGAACCTCTTGAGTGTGTGAAGATATCCATAAGCAGTGTCTGTAATCCAATCTATTGCATATTCAAACACTATAGGAGAAAGAACGCTAATCCGTAGTCATTTAGTCCTTATTTTGAAAGGAAGCGCCGATTTCTTATAAAATCTAAGATTAAATGAAAGGTCTGTATAGCGAGTACTGATGGATTATTGCTTATATTATCATTTCAAATGCCATGGTTAAGGTACCTTAGCCAGTGTTAACCTTGTCAAATCGAGGTGATGCTGGGAATCCATTTGTATTTCTATCCACAAATGGAGCTCTGGCGAAAAACTTTGACCCGAATAATGCCAGCCAAGTCATATATGGTGAGAGTTGCTTTTAAACAAAAGTTTTGATCAGAAGAAAAAAGTTAGCTACATTTCAATATATAAAGAATTTCAGTTATTTCGAAGAAAAAGCTATTAGAAATGAAACGACCGAAAGAAATCGACGAGGTATATTCGCTATTCATTATCAGAATTATCAATATCAATAAAAATAGTTTAATTTAAGCTTTTAACTAAGTTTTAGGATAAATCTATTATCGAACGTAGAATTAAATCGATGATTACGCGACAAAAACAACTTAAAGATGAGTTGAGAGATTCCAAAAAGCTTCTCGGTTTAGTTGATGAACCATTTATCACCGCAACTACCTCTTCACTTCAAGGAATCACTCTTCTTGAAGCATTAACTCAGGTGAGAATTGACCATTTTATTTATTAACCATTAAATTTGTTAATTAGGAAATTTTACATGTACATAAAATATTTTGGAATTTTTTTTTTTAAAAAAAAGCCGATCGTATATATTTGATGAAAAAATTTCTATTTTTAGGAGACAAAGATTCTCGAGAAAAGATTAACAGCATGTAGGAATCATGCAATGATTATTACGTGCTTTCCCTAATCGTGATTTTCAAATATTCTCGCCTACTTATTAATTTATTTTATTTTAGTCATATTTGTGATCTCTAATACTGGAAAAATTTAAAAAAAAAAAAAAAAAAAACCACTATATCATTCGATTATTTGATAAAATTAAATAGAAATTCAATTTTGCAAAATGTATATTTTATTTATTTATTTTTATGGATCTCGAAAAAAGAAAAAAATTTATTTATTTTGAATTTATTCATTGTGTTAAGTTCATTTAATCAAGGGTAATTGTAAATGGTACAGTTTTAAGCTTAGAAAATCTATTGACATTTGTTTACTTTTATTATAATTTTTAATGTTTTCATTTATTGTATATATAAATTTATTCACATCATAAAATAATGATTAATTTTCGTTTTCTATTCATTGTACATGGCTGAAAAATATTAAAGAAAATTTTAAAATGAACTAACTAAGTAAAGTGTGTCAAACATGCAGAATTTTCATGATCTTACTGGATGATCATTTTTTAAAATGAGCCAATAATTTTTGAATAAAAATTCGATCTCTCGTGGTTAAATATTTCGATCAAAAAAAAAAAAAAAAACAGTTTTAGTTGAAATTCATAGAAAATTATTAATTATTAGTTTCGTATCGAATGCTGTGTCAACACGGTATCGAGTGTACTAACCTTGAATGCTTGTATTCATGTAGCCATTGGTCATCGTTACCTGTTTGCAAGGTTAAATTAATTAATTTTAATTTAAATTGACTAAATTAATTAAAATAATTAATTTCTTTCTCATTTTTAAAAATTATTTTCTAAATTTATTATTTATTAATTTATTTATGATAATATTAAATATAATATTTATTAATTTTCATAAAATAATTCATTTTTTAATAATTCATTGAAAACACTAAAAAGATTATATTAAAACAAAAAAAAACAAATAAATTAATTATTTTTATTTAATTAAATTTATAACGAATATTACGAAACTTATAATATTAGTGATTGCTGAAAAGCAATTTGCACTTTTCTATTCCTCAGTAACTTTCTAGGACCTTCGCTCTATTGCTCAATGAGTGAAGTCGGCAAAACCGGAAGTGGTGAAAACGAAAGATATGATATGACTGCTAATAACATTTAACAAAAGAATGTATGTATAAAAATTTACCAATTTCCTCCAAAATTGGGCAAATCTTTCAAATCTTTTTTTCCTCTCACCCTCTCAAATGATGTTTTATAATGGACTATTCCTTCCTATTGCCTCAAAGTACCACTAAAACTTGTTGGTGATATCGTTTTATAGATTCTGCGCAACCCTTCAACCGTTAAACCTTTCCCAATTCCTCTTCACCTCCACAAAAGTTTTCTCGAAAAATTTTTTTCTATTAGCTCTCAGAGCCGCGAATTTCATCATTTCCTCAAATATTTTCCTAAACACATAGAAATATAAATAAATAATAAATAAAAATATAAATGAAATAATAATAAATGCAAATCGCATAATTGAAGATTTTCTTTATTACTTTATAAATGAATGAAAGAATTGCAATATTTATTGATGAAATTAAAACTAATTTAATTTCATATAAATTGATTTCATTTCAGGTGCTTAAAAAGTTCATGTTATGCATGGAAGAATATTACGTGGAAAATGTGAAATCTGTTCCAAACCAGCTTGACATCTCTTATGGAGGTAAGTGACAGGTGTCAGTAAAATCAACCAACCCAATAATTAGTGGTGAATGTTGACAAAAAAAAGAAAGATCATGAATTTTCGCTAAATATCAGCGAAAATCAGGTTAATGATCATTTATTTCATGCATGGAACATTATAGTACCATATAAACTCGATGAAAATAGAAAATATTTCAGAAAAGCCACTCCAAAAACTTGACATTTGGGGAGATGAAGAAAAAAGCGATCATGTGGTGGCACTTTTCCATGGAGGATACTGGCAAGTAATATTCCCTATAATTTCACTTAAAAGCGTTAACTTTATGAGACAAATAAAGATTTGACGATTTTCAAATCAAGCAAGATTCAATAAATTGCCTGACTTTAGTTCAAACATGAACTTTTTATGATAATCAGGGCTTTTACTAAGAAAGTTTCTTGCTTTTCACAGTAATGCAAAAAAAATTTTTTTTAAAAAGAAATAAAAATTGTAAAAAAATAAACTAATGAAAAATGATATGAATTGCCTGAATGATTTCAAAAGATTTTATACATCAAATAGCAAATCGATGATAGTATCAGTTGATAATATATCGTCCAGAAATCACTGGCCAATAACTAATCGATTCAGAAATAATAAATAACTGACGCTTGAATTCTTCTCCATTGATAGTGCTTTAGGAAGGTGATCGAAAACTTTTCACAAGCCTTGTTAAACCTTTGACAGAAACAAATATTACAGTTGTTTGCGTTGGTTATGAAATGGCACAAAAGAATATTTCTTTAACGACTTTAATTAATCAGGCAGTTCAAGCTATTCGGGTGAGTTTATTTGAGCCAAATTTGATATAACAAGATTGATTATGAATTGTTTAATAATCTCTCAAAAATCTGGTATACAACTAGTGATATTTCTGAATTTATACTAAACATCCCTTATCAATGAATTGAAATAGAATAAAAATTAAGAATGACCGGTGGAATTGGACATTCACTCCAAAAAATACTTAGATATGTGAAAATTCTCTAAGCAACCAGCAAGAAATTCTTTTTTTTCTAAAAATTTTTTCTGCGCACCATTTCTGACTTTGTTGGCTTGGTCCTCTGGCTACTAGAAGCATTTAAGCGTCACAATCTCAAACCATGTTTAAAATGAATGTTCCTTTTTCAGTTTTTGCGTATGCGTTGGCCAGATAAAGTGATAACAGTTGGAGGCCATAGTGCTGGCGCTCATCTTACATTTTCAGGTAAAAATTAAGCAATAATTTTCCAAAATATGATTTGATCATCAAATCTTATGACTTGTAAAATTAAAACTTATATTAATCGAAAATTTCACATTATTTTAATGCGATCGATTAAAGAGGATTAAAGAAGTATGAGTAAAACAAATGGTAAGAGCTCACCATTTTTGGTTTTGGTCCATTAGGTGAGGAATTTTTGTGAAATCACTTGGCGATAGAAGCATAAGTTCATCACCAGCAGCATCCGCTTAAGGATTAGCTGATTGTAGATCAATGAAAATTTCTTGAGGGAAATGAAGCTTAATTTTACTAATTTAAAATTTTAAATTTTTGAAAATTTAAAATTATAATTATAACTTTATAATTATTAATAAATAAAAATTATTTGTAAAAATTATTTATTTATAATTTATAAAAATGATTTTCTTAGAAATTTTTAATTTTTTTAGTCAAAATTCTTCCAATAATTCACAAAAATTTTATAATAGCTGTACTGTCTATCGGTGATGAATTCAATATTAACAAAGCTATACTTTTTTCTGGTATATTTGATTTGCGTGATTTACCTGAAACTTATATTGGAAAGGCGATTTGGTATGGATTCATTTTCAGTTAGAAAACATGAGCATTCTTATTTTTAAAATTCTAAATTTTTATTGTTTATTAAGATGTAATCTAAAAATTTCCCGTTTCTTTTTTCATTATTTTTTTTTTTAAATAATATTCGCCAATACTGATTGGACTTACCCCCTCTGATTTGTGCACTAGACAAATATGCTCGGAAGTGGAAGTTCGCGATAGAAGTTCAGGTGAATTAGCAAGCATCATTTCTATGCTGTCGGCTTTTTCACCAACTATTCTTAACCATTAAATTTCTAAGCTTTCAATAAAATAAACGATGCTTAATTTTTATAAGCTATTACAGCCTTACGAATGAGGATGCTGAAAAGGCAAGTGTAAAATTAAATAAAATATCATACCATGGTTCACTAAAAGCCTATGTTGGTTCATTAGAATCACCAGTCTTTATCGAACAAAACGAAAGATTTTGCAATTTGTTTGCACAAATACCAGAAGTTCATTTCGAGCTTCAAGTATAATTTTTTTTTGATTTCGTTTGATTTTATTTTTCGTCTTTTTTTTTAAAAATCTCTTCGAAAAAATTAATAGGAATTAATTCAAGTTTAAAAATTTAGAAATATTAAATTTATGAATTTTTAAAAAAATCAATTTGAAAATGAATTTTTAAAAAAATCAAGTTAATCGGCATAAATTTAGATAGTCAACAATGAAGATCATTTCTCGTTAATCGAGAATCTCGGCAAACCATCTTCACCACTCACAAATCAAATCATCGCATATATTCTCAGCTGACGATGAAATTTTATAAAAACAAGCTTAGAAGAGATGATTAGAAAATATTAAATATCAATAGCTTGAAGAAATATTCTTTCAAGTACAAGCAGATACTTTCAAGTACTTACTTACCAAATACTTTTTTCTATATAATAAAACGTTTAGTTATATGGGAAAAAAAACGAAGCCTTAAATTCTGATACCTCCATCTTGAAATGTTTTGGTATTTCTCATGACTTGTTGTATTTTATTGAAAGCGGATCTCTCAGAGGAATTTTAATCTCACCTTAAACTGCTTCTTCAGGTTTAAATCTCTTAGATGAAACTCAAACATAGCTCCCTAAAACCCCTCACCTGTTACGCACACCCCATAGGAAGGATATTTTAGCGATTACAGCTTAATTATAGAATCCTGATATGCAATAATATGAAATACTTAGAAAGGATGCTGGAAAATGTAACGGATTTTGATCAAAGAATATACCCTGATTTGAAGATAATTTTACTTAACTGTAGAAAAGAACAATCCTTCTTACTTGAGAAATAATTTGAATTACATACATAATTTGAATTGAATTATGCATAGCTGGAGGCATATGCATTCGTCATGATATAACGACTAATGAGAGCGTTTATTAAACACTAAATAAATTACATCAAATAAATTGTATGAAGTGATAATATCAGACAATCATTTTTCTGAAATGAAATCGAAGTTTTTAGATTAATGTTAATAATCGTTTGCTTTATCCAATTTTCATAGAAACAATTTTTGAAAGGGAATAAATTAGAATCTATAAAAATTGTGGCCGTCAAGAGCACCTGGGCAATTCCAATGTTAACACCTAAGGGCGCATTGAGACGAGAATACAAAAAACCCTTTAATTCAAATTTTCATCAGCACTGGTGTTGGAAATTTTTTTCTCATAATATATTTTATATATTTCTATATTTTCTTGCAAGTTTGCATTCTATTTCATCCTATTCATCCTACGGATAGAATTGTCTTCAAGCATTCGCTTCCTGCTCGATTTTTTTCAGTATCAGTCATTTAGCACTTTGCCACGAATCTATTTACAAAATATGAAATGAGCCAGTAGATGCATATGCAGCAAATATATATTTACGATACAAATTAGATGAAGGGAAATAGAAATCCTATTTGCAATGGTGACCATGACCATTACATCAAGTTGTTCTCTGGAAAGCGAGTTTCATCCCAAGAAATATTATATGATAAAGCCAACTTTTGTATTTTTCCTGTCTATACATAAATAAAAAAAGTTTTATCTATGTAATAAAAAGACGATAAAGGTCAAATCATATCACTGTGATTGATTTCTAGAAAGATCCGTGATTTTACAAAATAATAATGTAACGAAGAAAAGGCTCTCAGATTGTAGTGATTTGTAATCGTTGGATTATAACTGTAATCTTCTTTCGTTAAAGTATCACAACCTTTCGTTTATCATTACATACCTCAAACTTGAGTAATCAAATCGCGATTTTAAATAAAATTATACATAATATACATTATTAATCAGAGAAAACAATAAAAATATAACTAAATAAATGAAAATTGAAAGCGAAGCGTAACAGCCAATCTTCGGCTGATATTTGTCGTTTATCCTTCACGATTGAAATAGTTGACCTTACCTCGCACCTCTATAACTTTTGCTTCATCAAATTGGTGATAATTGGTGATCTTCCATTTCGACCTGCTTAGTAATATTCTACTCATTTTTGAGTATGGTTATCTCTTATGGAACTATTATACCTTCAGTTATTTCTAATGGAGCTATTAAGTTGATTAGTCGATGCATGTAACAATTCTTAGTGTTTATTCACAACAATCAATTTGGTTGGTCGGTGACTTCTAGGTAAGAAAATCAGTGGTTGAATCTTCCTTTTATCACAAAAAAAATTTCGTTTTTTCCAACGGATTTGCTTTCTAATTTCTTCCAATTCCTCAAATTGTAACTTCAACTACATTTCTTCCATTATCAATCTGGTTTTCAACCTGCTTGCCTCACTGATTGGTTCTTAGACAGGACAATCAGAAAGTTTCTCGTATGCTTTTTCCCCTTTTGAATTCCCAATAAACGATGTGTGGGTTACTAAATCCATCATGCTGCAAATGACTGGGTTAGTACATTTGGTATCGAGCGGATATGTACGCTATCACTACAATCGAGAAAATCTTCGTTGCGTATCGAATAACATCAGCAAACGGCTCAAAAGGTGCTTATTTTATTTTATCGAATGCCCAATTGCTGCACGTGAATAAGCCTTGTTATGCATAGGCAATCCTCTATTTGGAATCACTTTAACAGTCGAGTCGTGTCTTTTAATACACGCGCGTAAATTAAATAGAGCTAAGAAAGGCCCCATTGTTTGCAGACAATCCCGTCCAGCCGTGTTTGGAAACTCCGCACCTGACAAATACTTCTGAATTTCCTCATAATTTAAAGATGAAACAAATTTTTGGAACGTGTCGAAATCATGAAGTTCATAGATTTCATGATGTTCTTAGATTTAGGCTTTAGTAAAAAGTCTATGTGGTTGTACGGATTAACGATATGTAGCGCTAGATGCCATTCTCAACCATATTGGAGCATGATTGGATCTGACTGATCCCATATGTAAGTTAAGATATCCACTTTATTTCAATCTTTCCAATCTTTCGATCTTGGACTCGATTCTGATTTGAAACTCAAACTTAATTCTAGGAATTCAGGTAATGTCTTGAACCAACATCTCTTGAACAGTACTCACTGCAATTTCTTTGTCTTTTCCTTTTTCTTTCAAATCCCTTTAATACATTTCTCTATGTTGGCTCCTTATAATTTATCATATTTTCGATCATTTCGCAGCAGCACTCTATGACCCTTTGCAGCTTCCACATCTTCGCATAAAACTGTTAATATCTTGGGTTTGGAATTTGACAGTCGTTTTCGTCAGACAGACAGACATTTTCCAAAGTTTGATAATCCTTCAATAAAGATTGTTGCACAATCATTTGGGAAGATAATAAAGATAAAAATGAAAAAGTGGAATAGCGTAACCCTTCTGAATCGAATTCGCTGTCCTCGTTATTCGTTCCCTGGCCCTCATGTAACGAAAAGAAGGCTCTCTCAAATTGTCTTGTAATCATTAGCTCTTTTCGTTAAACTATCATAATTTATTCTTCCTTGCGTGCCTCAAACTTGCGTAATTAAACCTTTATTTTAAATCCCGACAATATACGACATCATTAATCACACAAAACAATAAAAATACAACAAAATAAACAAAAGTTGAAAGCGAATCGTAACAGCCATTCTTCAGCTGATATTTGTCGTTAATTCTCTATGATTGAAATTGTTGGTCTCATACAATCTTTGATGAACAAGTAACATTTTTCTTTGGTTAAGAAACATAGTTTAGCTAATCCCATCTATACAACAATTTGCTGACAATGGCCGAAGGACGTTACCGATTCAATATACCATGGAAAATATGGTAGCCAAAACACCAAACAACTATGACAAATCACTCGGGTGTCTGAAACTGCCGATTAAAACTCTCTGCAACCATTCAAGCGGGAATAAACTAAAGGAATATGATCAAATTATCAATCTGGACTTCCAGAACAACTTTATAAAGAAGATAAATTTCTTCGACAAACTTCTTATCACATAATGTTGACACCTAGAAAGAAAAGACGAGCACAGAATTACATATCGTATTTGTCGTGAATTTGTAAATTATACAGTGAAGTGATGTCATTCAGTAGTTAAATACCACCAGTGATTTGAATGCGCTGAGTTGAATTGAGTTGTGTTGAGTTGGGATGGGTTGAGTTGTAGACGAGATATCACAAATTGTAGAAGATTTATTCCAAGAAAAATTACCCTTGGTTTAATACAAATAGGATTTACATGTGATTGAAAGTGGGAGTGGTTTATATCAAACATTCCGAGCATCTAAGAGGATGTACATCAACATACCACATACCGTAGTTTACAGTAAAATCATTGTAATAAGATCAAATAAGAGAATTAGCGTGTGAATTAGATAGATATTCTAAGTGATTGCTAGGAAAAGCATTTCCCGTATAACAGGAATACAAAGATATGAGCTTAGATAAAAACAGAAAAACATGGGAATTTGACAGGAAACACATCTAAGGAATAAAATCAGTTAAATAATTCCTAATATTAGTAACATTTATTTACAAATTATTTACAATGAAGAATTTATTTGGTTATTTATTTGTTTGGAATTTGGTGGGAATCCCGCGATATCGGAATTCGCGAGTGCAAAAGACAGAAATGGTGCGTCCTTAAATGGTAATTTACTGCGAGAACCACTACTGCTCAATGATTTAATTAGTGTTGTAAAAAATAGATTAATAAAATTATTGATTGGAAGCAGTATGATGATACTCGCCTGCCACGCGTTAATTTTATTGGATAATCTTGATCCGACTGCTTTATCAGGACAATAGAAGAAATACTGATCACCGCATGCATAATAAAAATCTTTATTCTTTACCTCAAACTTGGGTAATTAAACCAAATAGATTAAAAGGCAAATATTGTAAAATGCGATGTTTCTATTATTTCAAATATATTATTTCAAACCGACACACCAATGAAAACGTTCTTAATCGATTCTTTGATCATTCCACTTTATATATCAATAAAACATAAAGGACAATTTACAATATATGTTGTGTATTGTGTACTTACAAAAATCTTTCTTCTACACTTCAAAGCGCCATATCATTCTTCTCCTTCATTTTAGGCGCCATTTAGGGAGTTGGGTCCCAATATTAATAGTTAATACTAATATTAATGTTTTAAATATTCACTCGTTTAATGTGTCCTTTGCCCCTTTATTCTTTTCCTTTGTTTTGCCTTTTAATCTATTTAGTTTAATTACCCAAGTTTAAGGCAATGATTAAAAATTTTGGTTGAATCTAATTTCGTAGACGGCAGTTTTTGCCTTCATTTTTAAAATTTCAGGACCAAATTTTTTTAAGGTGGACCACAGAATTTCAATGTCCTGAGTATGCACATTAGTATCTTCAGGATTAACAAAGTTTTGTTGATTTATAACTGTCTTGTGGATATTTCCATGTAGGTTTAGATTTTTGTATCCACGCCATCCACCAGTATATATCGTAGCACAAAGAGGAGGGTCAATTCATTCCTGTTTGGCACGGAGACAATAAAGAACTTTTTAGTCAACCGAGATATTCCACCAACAAGCCACTGGGCTGGAATGATTCTTCCTTTGTTTTCTTTGTTATAACAGTTTCATCAATCTCAATGATATCGTTGCATCCGCCAATAAGAGATGTCAGAGTTCTAAATTCTTGACCGGATTTTACAATTGAAGGTTGAGATTGTGTTCTCACATAATCCTAATTCTTTTGAAATGTTTTCGGATGAGGTAAAATTGCTCCACAGATATAAATAAAGAATAAATTGTTTCAGAGGTACTTTAATATTCTCAAGGAAGTTACCAGTTCGAATGCTTACAGGTTTGTTGCATCCTCTTTTGTATATCGATTTCATCTAGCAGTTACAACTCGGACAAAGTCTAATAGAGTAAATGAGTCCACGGTTCATCGAAAATTCAAGTACTTTATCACTAGTATTAAGATCATTTGGGAGAGACAACAAAAAAAAATATGGATAAAAAAAATTTATTTAATAGGGAATTTTTCTCACACTGAAAAAGGAAACAAAAAATATTTATGGGAAAATATTTTGGCGGGAAAATTTGGCGGTAGGATTGTCGTCTATGGAATTAGATTTAACCAAAATTTTTATTATACGTGCGGTGATCAGTGTACTTTCTACTGTCCTGATAAAACAGTCGGATCAAGGTTATCTAATATAATTAACGCGTAACAGACGAACATCCCACTGCTTCCAATCATTAATTCTATTATCTTAATGCGCCTAAAATGGCATATAAAAATATGTCATTGGCATAAGAACGATATGGAGCCTAACAGAGGTAAAAGCATGATATGGCGCCTTAAAGTGCAGAAGAAAGATTTTTATAAGTATACAACATAAATTGTCCTTTATGTTTTATTGATATACAAATGCAATAATCAAGGAATCGATTAAGAACGTTTTCATTGGCTTGTCGGTTTGAAATAATAAATTTGAAATAATAGAAACATCACATTTCGAGACAGGTCTTGCCGCCGAATAACGAAGATAGTTGCAAATATGAGTAGGTCATACGCATCACAGCTGCTACATACCTCTTTCCCAGCGAGAGCATTAGGAAACTACGAGAGAAAAGAATTGAAAAGGATGTTACAAAATATAGAATAATAGTAGAGTACCTCATGAATGAGATACAATAAAGATAGCTTCCACTTTGAAAGAGGACCAACATAAATCTTCCCTCCGCCCATCGCCATTTCTAGAAGCTTCTGTAACTTTCGATTTTAACATCGCCATTGTTTATAAGTGTTTCTTGCATTGTTGAAATGATATTATTAAAATTGAGAAATAACCCTTACACAGCCGAATTAAAATTAATTGAATATTTACATAAAGTAGATTTTTAAAACTCTTAAGAAATTGGACTACGAAAAAATAGATCTCCTAGCACAGCTGGATGAAAAAGAGCATTAGTTTAATTTAGATATCAGCCAACTAACATAATCTGTAAATAATAAGATAAGAGAATAGTAGCCACTAATAAATGACCCCTCAACACCAAAAAGAATTGCTGATATAGAAGAGCATAAATTGATGGCAGTCAGTCCGAATGGGTATTTAAAACTTATTCAACAAGCGCGTAAAGCAACTTCAGATTTGCAACCTATGTATGGTGAATAGATATCACATGTCTCTCGAAGGAGAAGAGAAGGAATTGGTGGTAGGATGCTCTATGAATCATGTAGGAACCCGTTGCTTTTTGTACAACTTGTAGAGCGCGAGCACACGAAATAATGGTAGTAGCAGATATTCAGAAAAGCCTACCATCAAAATGAACTTAACACGGTGGATCGCGACGTCACACGATTCCTATTTTTTTTTAGGAGTCCTCACTATTGTTGGTTACACTCGCTCCATTGGCTTGTCGCATTGGACAATATGCCAAAGAGTTCCTTGGCGAGAGAAATACATGCGAGTCGCCAGCATCACCTGGATTTTTACAGGTTTATTCTCGTTGGGAACCGAACCTCAGCATCGGCCCTCCCAACTGAGCAATAACCCACTAAGCCATTCTATCCCCACACGATTCCTATAGCTAAAGGATATCCGGAAATCAACTGAAAAGAACACAATATACAAAATACAAATTGAAATAACAGAGGACAAAATCTTCTAGAAGTTCACACCATTACTGGTTAGGCTGGCTCCAACGGCTACAAGGCTGAAAAGCTTCAAAGTAGCGCGATATGATGCCATTGCCGACAGTAATAGAAACCATTCCTTTTTTCATCGTCTAAGTCCATATATTGCTGATCCATCCATCAATACGTTCAGAATCTTTTCTAACCATATCAGTCCAGATCTTGATTGATCCACCTTGCTCTTGATGCCATCCATCACAAGGTTTAGCGATATATGCGATAACTCTTGTGGTGGACGACGGAGAACGTGCCTTGACTATCAAAGGCGACGCTCTGCAATAACATTATTAATGTAAGTGGCATTTGAACGAAGGTGGATACGATCATATGATATTTTATCTGCTCGACGGACCCGTAAAATATACCTTAAATAAGAGCGATCAAAGGTAGATAGCTAGATAGCTTCTTAATATCCTCCACTCTTATTGGCTATGTCTCAGAACCATATAGTAAGATCGAACGAATCACAGCTATACAGATGCGGACTTTAGTTTTAATGGTAATTTCACGACGGTTCCATAAAAGTTTCGTCAGCCAGTTTCGACGGTTCCATTTCTAGCTGCCGCGATCCGAGCTATAATATCGTCTTTTGCCTGGCCATTATGTATTACAGTGGATCTATGGTATTTAAATCGGCACTTCTTCAACCGGTAATGAATTTACAAAAAGAGGCATTTTATGGCCCTTCTTGCAGATAAAACGAATTCGTTTTGTTTACATTGATCCTGATTCTGATTCTTGCTGCAGTTTCTGGCACGTTATTTAGCATTACTTGCATTTCTGTCAGCAAAAAAGACTACATCATCAGTGCATTCAAGATCTGTGATACGATGCTCTGGACTGATTTGGACACCCCTTGAATGCCGACAAATGATGTCCATTACCCATCGCGTAGTTGAACATTGTAGGGGAAAGGACGCAGCCCTGAGTACACCGGTTCTTCTTTCGAAGGAATCTGTCAATTCCCCATATACACATACCTACGCCGACGCTCATAAAAAGCCTTTATGGGTCAAATGATCTTCTCTGGAACACCGTTGCGTTCCTCACCCTCCAAAGCACCATTATATCAATTGAATCATAGGCAGCTGCAAATTCGATGAAACACGTGACAGTGGGTTGCAAATATCTAAAGCGATGTTCCATCATCCTTCTTAATGCGAATATCTGGTCAGCACAAACGCGCCCCGGTCTGAATCCAGCTTGATTAGGGCGCATCCTGCTGTTTCGTACTTCCATAAGTCTGTTGATTAAAAGGGAAGCAAAAATTTTTGCTTAGATTCTAATAGGCTGATTCCTCGACAATTGTAGCCTTTTTTAAAAATTGAGAGTAGAATTGCTTTGATCCAATCACCTAGTATTTCTTTTTTCCATACCAGAGAATACATTTGTTGAAGGTGTGAAAGACGATGGACAACATTTAAAGAGTTTAGCCCGAAGGCCATCTTCTTATTGGCCTTAAGCTTATGGATAACGGAAATTATTCCTTCTTCTGTCGGGGGCTCGCAATTGCAAGCATATGGTTCAGCGTATCAACTACATGAGGGGCAACGGATGGCGCTTCATGGTTAAGTTTGTCCTTAAAGAATTCTTTCCATCTTATAAGGCGGTCTTTAATACTCTTGTTCGGCACACCGTTGCTGTCCCTTATCATTTCACTGATAGTTCCCCAAGTCATAGTTCCTTTATGAAGAAGATGGAATAGTTTCCTATTATCGCCTAATCGAGCCGCCGTCTCCATTCTCAGGGCCATGTCACTCCAATAGTGATTTCTGCACCGCCTTATTGCTTTCGTTGCAAATCTTCCAAGCACCCAGTAGTCAGGATCACCTGACATTCGTGATTTGGCAGCTTTTTTAGACAGTTGGACAGTTGCTTCCGATAGCACACTCCCAACTAGCACACTACTTGCTAGTATGCCCTAGGATGGAAGCGGCTGACTTTTGCAGACATCCTTTTAGTTTGGACCAGTATTCATTTGCCGTTCCAGAAAAGTCATCCGAATTTTTTAGTTTGAGATAGTTGAAGAATCTTGGGAGATGTTGTTTTCTGCGAGTTGTCAACTTTATGCGGAGTTTGGCTCTAACCATAACAAGGTCAGACCCATGAAGACTGTCCGTTTCAGCTCCGCGGTAAAAACGACTATTTACAGAACTCTTCCAACGGTGACTGAGTGGGGTATAATCAATCTGCTTGAAATGTTGCTTGCCCGGGAAGTTCCACGTGACTAGATGTTTTCTACGATGCCGAAATCAAGTATTAGTAATAAAAAGTTCATGCTCTTCGGCGTAACGAAGGCGTTCCCCATTGACGCACCGGTCTCCGATGCCATATTTGCCAATTGTTGAGGTCATCGCAGGGCACTATGACCTATGCGGGCATTTCAGTCTCTCCCGATTATGATCATGCCATGTTTCGGTAGAGACTTTGTTAGCAGTCAAAGTTCCGCATAGAATCTTTATCGCGGTCATCTGCCAACAGAGTTGGAGTATAGACACTGTTGACCGAAATATTGCAGAACTTACCTTTAAAATGGGCCTAGGACATACGGTCGCTTACCGGTTTCCACTCAATCAGAGCGGAGTGGGCTTTATCAGATGACAATCGCTACGCCATTTCGCCCCGAGCTAGGATCACAGTGATATAGCCAATAACTCTGCTCCGAACCAGGATTAACACTCGAAACCCGAAATAAGGAAGATTGACTTCCGACAAGTAAGCGATATCTACACAATATTTGGAAAGAGAGTGGACAGTGATCGCTTGACTTGCGTCCATAAATGTTCTAACGTTCCACGCTGATACGGCTAATACCTCGCCGCACGTGCAGAAAACTGTTCCCCTTGGTAGGTTTCGAGCAATTACCCTGGCTTGCGAGCATATTTTAATTATCCTTGGAATCGTATTAAGCCCAAATTGTGCACTTTTCGCATGGGCTATGAGTACCATGCGTGTCGGGAGATGCGGACGCTGTATCAAAAATATTTTAACCCTACACCACAGAATCACTTGGGAATGAAGGTACAAATGGATCCCCAGCAGCCACCCAGATTTTTGGCATGGCAAATTTATTTCTACCGAAGACTGACATAGTTTATTTTTTTTAGATGAAATTATTCATTTATAATATTATAAATTTTATATTTGAATATAGGAAAAGAGAAAAAAAACTTTAGCGTTTGCAAAAGA